TTACGTTAAATGGGTTGCTTTTTGTTTTAATTCCTTTTATTTTATTTTTTTCGTTTTTGTTTTTTTTTTTTTTTGTTTTTTTTGTTGATAAATAAGTAATTAAATTTAATGGAAAACTTGAAAAGATTGTTTTGGGTTTAAATCGAGGATAAAAATAGAGTGTTACGCCTTTTACTTAGTTTTGTTTGTTATCAACTTTTATGTTCTTTTTGTTTTTGTATTGGAGTTAATTATGCGTTAAGAATAGTTTTTATGTTTTGTGTTTGAATTAATTTGTGTACGCTTTTGGTATCTTTGTTTGGATTCGCTTTTTATTTGGTTTGTGTGTGTTTTGTGATGTTTTAGCTGTCAATTATAGTACGTATGTTGAATAACAACGATATGTTTGCTTCTTATCTATTTTTATTATTATTATTTTTTCATTTTTCAATCCCTAACTGCCTCTGTGGGGTTTCGATTTGAAGTCGTTTTTTATTGTATTTATTTTTATAGTCGGTTGAGTACCTCAAGTTCTCATTACTAAATAAAATACTAAGTAGTTCGAAAAACCAATGAAATGCTTTTTAGCTCTAATTGTATCTAGTTCGCTGTGTGTGTATGTGTGTCCCTCTGTGCTGACTTCTACAGTGCCGCACTCTAGCCTACATTTGGCTAACTAGAGTCTTTCACTTGATAGATTCGCGGCGTTCATGCGCCTGGCGAATTCCCATGTTTCCAAATATTTGATTTGAGCAAATCATTCGAATATTTGAAAGCAAGGCAAATTGAGAGCTCGCTTTTGCTTTGGCAACCGCCTCACTTCAAAGGATTTCAAAACACACCTGAGAATCTACCGAAATAAATGTGTTTAAACTTTGCGCAAGGCGCAGCTTCAAAGCTCTAGCTATCTCGCTCTGGCGTCTCATAAATAAGTTTCAAGTATTCTTCATACCCGATACCCATTCAAAATGGTTAAATGGGGCATATTGTTTTTTTGCAGGTGTATGTATGAATAGGCAGCAGGCAGCATATTCGCCCCGTAAATTATGCGCTGAATATTTCATGCAGATCGGACTATAAATACCGAAGTTAATCACGAATTGTGTGGGGTCAAACAAAGCGCCTGCGAGTGCTTCTTGCTGTTCCAGACTCTAGTCTGCGCATTAATAGGTGTTACTAGCTAGTATCGAGACTAAGCGATCTTTAGTTATATATTAGATAGTAAGTATTTAACAGCTGTATGGAGTGCATGTTATGATATGTGAACATATCATAAACACATTGAAGTAATATGCATAAATACATATGCATAAGTATATATAAGAGCAGAAGCTTGAGCTCAGGAGTTACTTGCATTTACATACGTCTGTTGTGTGTGTGTGAGTGTGTGTGTGTGTGCGTCAGTGTAAGTGTGTGGGTGTGTTTAAGTTTGAGCGCAGTTGACTTTGTTTAAGTATAAACTAAGGAATAAGTCAGACTACAACAAATTGTACATGAATTGAAACTGACAATGGCTAAGAATACGAAGAAAGGTTCTTTGCACACATACAAAAACCAATTACAAATACAATTACAATTACATATTTACACGTTCGGATTGCAACTGTTGTACAGTTAAATAAAATACAAAACGATTCATTTTCATTGCGTATATTTTGTTGTTGTTTTTTGTTCTTTTCCGCATATTTTCATAGCGTGTTTTTTTTATTTGAATGATCAGCTGTTTGTTTTTTGGGGGGAAGTTATCCTCTGCTTTTTTTTAACTTCTCTTTTCATTCTTGTTTTTTGTTATGAGTATTTTTTGTGTTTTATTTACTTAACTGAGCTATTTACTTTGTTGTTGTTGAGTTACACATTATTGATATATATATATATATATATATATATATATATATGTATATATATTTATACATATAAGATGTATTTACATTTGTTGCTTGGTATTTTATAAATATACCTATTTAAATTTAATTAAATTAAATTTTCTCTTTTTTTTTCCATTTCATATTCAATTTTAAATTTATTTAAACATATAATAACATTGTTTTTATTTTGTTTTTATTTTTATTTTTTTGCTGAACACATTTATTCCAAATTTTTTGTTTTCTGTTTACGATTTATTGTTGATCAGCTTTTTGCTTTAGCTAGTTTAATTTTCAATTCTATTGGCTGTCCGTGCGCTGCTTCTTCTTGAAAACTCTGTTCTTTATCCGTTTTGAAAATCATAACAAAAATCTGAACTCTGTGTATATACTACTTATATACTGTTTATTCTCTGTATGTTTCTTTTTACATTAAGTATGCTAGCTCCTCAATTTATATACATGTATATATCAATATATATATATATATATTGATATATGTATATATATATATATATACACATATATCTATTCGATTACCTAGGTTAATACTATAAAAAAAAAACAACCTTATTTTACACACTTTACTTCTTCTTGTTTCCTAATGCTAAAATGCCCCACGCTAAATCATAAAACTTAAATTAAATAAGCGAATTCTTTTCTTTTAGAAATAATAAAAATTGTTTTTAGTTTTTTTTGTTTTTTGTTTTTTGTTTTTGGTGTTTTGCCTTAAAGTGTCTGGAGGTTGATTTTAAGTTCTATTTTATAGATACAGTTTGTTTTGGTATGACTAGATACAATACAATACAGTATAATATAATATACATTAAATGACATTTCTGTTTTGCATATACATATATATATAAATATACATATATATATATATATATATATTTATACATATATACATTTATTTGTGTATGATTTTCTTCTAAATTTATTAATTTATTTATATTTATTTTAGGATTCATCCGATGCGTACAAAATACCCAATTATTTATTTAGCTAATTTGCTTTGTCGAAGGGTTGCGTGTGTTTCTTTGAGTGTATTTACAGCAGAGTTATATTAACGCTACAGTGCAGCCTGGGCCCAGTGTTGATATGGTTTTATTTCTTTTGGCGTTGGATGGAGGGGGGCACTACAAAACGAACAAAAGAAGCTTGAATACTCTATACACCTTGCCTGATATGAACGCGTGTGTGTGTGTGCTTTTGGTACGTTTCTTTAGGGCTGACTTATTCTGTTTGCAGCTGTTGCCAGTATCGAGCGCACACTGTAGCGTTACTGAGTATTGTTTAGATACTCGTTTAGTTTTGTTAATTATTTTTTTTTGTTTTTTTTTTTTTTTTTTTGGCAGTTTGCTTGCCGTCGCCGGAGCGCTTATGAATGCCAGCCTCAATCTGAGTAGTTGGCAGCTCTGGTAGCTCTGTGAGAAGCGCAGAGAAGGGTTCCTTAAGGCACTTGCACTTGCACTTGAACAGTTCCCCTGTTGCTTGACCATAAGCCAATTTTGAGTTTATCTTGGTTTTTGTTATTTTTTTCTTCTTTTTTTCGGGGTCTCTCAAATAATATGCACTCTCGCAAGAAATTGACAAAAAGTTGCCAAAGTATGTGTGTGCCGTATGTGTGTGTGTGTGTGTGTGGGTGTGTGTGTGTGTGTGTGTGTGTGCGTGCGTGTTGAGGACATTGTTAGAGGACGTGTGCGTGTGTGTGTCGAGGGGATAGGGTTGAGACAGGGCCTGCTTTTATGTTTTTATATTGTAATTTTTTGGTACTCGTTTCCGCTCTGCGAGTCTCTCCATTGTATGCGTGCGCCTGTGGGCGTGTCAGCGCGTGTATGTATCATATGTGTGTGTCAGTGTGTGTGTGGACGGTTTTCAAAGCTTTATTGTTTACACTTGAATGCTTCTTCATCTTACCCTTGTCACTTCGTATTACACAAAATAATTTGCAATGTGCTTTCATATACCGTTGCTGAGAATCCTAACATATTGATGACACACCCCTAACCCCTGGATTAAGATCTAAAGAACTTATGCATCGGAAATCAGATGAATTGTAAAGCAAAGTTTCCATTCCATCCATCTCTAAGCCCCCTGGTGTTAGATCTAAGGAGCTTATATAACGTATTCGGATGAATTGTAAAAGAAAGATTCCATTTGTTCCATCCTATCTTTGTCAAAGCGAACTAGTTTTTCAGTTCTTATTTAAAGGCATCATATAAAAAATTAGCAAATTTATATATTCTTCTCCCTTCTATTTGCATCTTGAGGAACTAGTTCTTCACATTCGATATTATTCTCAAAAAATCGCAACCAATTAGATCGCAGCACTGGAACAAGCTTAGGTTGACAAAGGAATGTGTTTGTTCTGATATTTTTACTTAGTTCTCATTGTTATTAAACCAGTTCGTGAAATAGAAGTTCGATAAATCGTAAGGCTTCTAGCTGCTATCGGAATATCGGAAGTTTTGCAGGACTACGTATCAAATTTGCATTCATCAAGGGTATTCCATATGCGGCATGCCGCATAAAGCAACTTTTCAAAAATATATATATGTACATATATATATATTTGTTATACATAATATATTTTTAAAATTAATATTTAACCCCATTATATGTGTATGTGCATATATATAAAACATATACATACAGTTTTACATTTTTATACATTTATTTATAATTAAAATGCGATTTTGCACAGTTTCAGTCGACTTTTTTTCATGTTGATTTCATCATATTTTGAATATTCTTTGGTTTGGTTGACGACATCCGAAATTTGAATGGCTGGGTGGGCGGGTGTGTCTGTATGGGCGTGTCACAATGTCAAACCACACACACACACAAATGGCAAAAGAGGAAAGAAGTCGAAGAAGTATTTGAACTATTTGGAAACTCATTCCCGTCGGGCTGTGCGGCAAGCAAAGTTTCGTAAATTTATTGTTTTTGTATTGGGGCATGTGAAATTGTATTTTTTTTTTTTTTTTTTGGTTTTTCAGTGCTCACACCTGGTATTATTTGCACATCCACACATAGATATAAATATATATATATATATGTATATATATGTATGCATGTATGCATATGTTTGTGAGGCTATGTACATTCCTCGAGTTCTCATATTAAGTTACTTGTTATTATAAAATCATAAGAGCCTTTGCCATTCTTCTACATTTGTTCTTAGTATTTGCCTTAAACATCATCAGGCATTTTTCGGTGTTTGTTTTTTTTGTTTGAACTTTACTTGCTTTTGCTTTAAGTTCTGTTAGTTTTATTTCTGCTGTGTCTTCAGTTTCAAGTATATCAATTAAATTGCAGTCGTTTTTTTTTGTTTTTTTTTTTTTAATATTTAAATTTTTTTTTTTTTTTTTAGCTGTTGTTGTTTTTTGTTCTCTTTGTTTGTCTTTGGTTAATTTCGTGATAAATTGTTTGTGATAATGAATATTTGTACTTTTTATTCCGTTTTTATTCGGGGGGAGTTTTAAGCAGAAAGTTAAGCAGGTTCGCTTTATATATAGAACAGTTCTTACTGTAGTTTCTCTTGTTGGACTATTTTCCTTATTATTTTTTATATTTCCTTTTCTGTTTTGTTTTTTGTTTTGTTTTTGTCCCATTTTTTGGGTGGGCGGGTTAGTTGAGCTTGGTTTGTTTTGGTAGTTGGGATAGTTAAGTACGTGAAATTTGTTTTCTTTGCTAGCAGACAAACAGATTGAAACAAATGCCAAAGATCAAAGCTAGATCCGATTCAATATTCTCGTTACAGTCGGTTCAATTTAAATAAGAACTCTTTAGCGTGTGTGCACTGTATTTGATGTAAATTTTTTTCTGATTAGTTTATATATTATGCTGTCACAGTTAAAAAGCATATACTGTTATTTCTTTTATTTATTTTTAATAACTATACAAATTGTTGATCTTTATTTTCTTTGTAATATTATGGCAGTTTTTATTTACTATGCTGTTAGTTTACGTGTGTTTGTGTTTGCTTGTGTCTGTGTGTGTGTGTGTGTGTGTGTGTGTGTGTGTGGGTGAGGATGAGTGTTGTGAAATGTTCAATGCTATCAGCGCTAAGCTGGAAGTAGTCGTAGTCGCTGGCAGCATCATTTTTGATACCTCGTTTAGGTTGATTGAATCAGCATTGAAGAAAGTTTGCTTAGATTTTCGTTCTTTTGAAATATCAACCAATCAATTGTGAGCATACATATATGAGCCAGAGGCGGCTCAAGCATAATATGCTCTGCCTGATCAGGCATTTTTTTAGAACTGATTTGAAATTTTAGCTTTGAGAAGCAAGTGAGTTGCCTGATCGCATAGATTGAGCAAACTATATGAACTTCGTTAGTTAATTAACTATATTTAGTTTTATATTAAGCTGGTAATAAGCGGAAAGTGACTCAAAAGGAAAACAGTTGAAACTCGGAAGTGCTTTCAAAGCGTCTTTTCCAGTGTTGCAAAGCAGCTTACTTTAGCAATAGTATTGGAAATCTTTTGAAAATACAAGAAGTGTTGAGAAATGGTTTAAGAACTGACCTTGCTGCACAGCACTGTTTTATGCTGCCTTTACCACACTGTTTGTGTGTGTATATGGCTGTTGGTGTGCTAGATTATGTGTGTGTGTGTGTATTTGTGTGTGTGTGTGTATTTGTGTGTGTTTGTGTGTGTATTTGTGTGTAAGGCCTTATTGTATGCACTTTTATTTGCTTTTCACGTTAACTGCGTTTACTTCGACTGGGTTTTACGGTTTTGTTAATTTTTTTTTTCTGTGATTCAATTAATTTTATATGAATTTGTGATTTTTTCTCTGAGTTATCTATTTTTATATATAGTTTTATTATTGTTATTATTTTTTGTTTGTTTTTTTTTTCGATGTTTTTATGTGTTTTAAATGTAGGTAATTGTTTACGCATTAAATTATCAATATTTTTTATAATTATTTATAATATTAAATACATACATATATATATTATTTTCTTGTTTCTTTTTGTTTGTTTTTTTTTGTTTGTATTTTAGTTTAATTAAATTTAATTAAATTTACCAATAGTTTAAATTTGTTTGTTATTTGTTCTACTTAAATTAAACTTAAACAGCTTTTGTAGTCGTTTCTGGCATCCAACGTAACACTTGACAAGGCCAATCTTATACCACTTAACATCAATTTTACTGCCCAGCCCCCGATGATATTATCGATAGATAACATCCAAATTTAGCCAAGTGATGCGTTTACATAGCACAGATATATATACATATAAGTTATATATATAATAATATTCATTAAGATACATAATATATATAGTAATAGTTTATATATATAGTCATAGAATGAGACATACATATGGGGCATATCGCGTGGGAGGGAGCAAGAGAGCGCGCGCACGTGGATAGAAAAAAAAAAGAGAAAATAGTTTAATGCTTATAAAAAAACAGTTAGCTTTAATTTTTGTACGAATTAAGAGAGAGAGAGAGAGAAAGAGACAGTTATTAGCAATATTGAGCTTAATAGTATGCTGACAATGACATTAGCTGAAAGTGAAGCTGGCAAAAAATGCTCTGTCAGTGTTGCAAAATGTTTGATAATAGCAGTTGCCTGTAAGAAATGCTCAACACTGATTTAGGTGGTCATTTTCAACTAATATCATTGTGACTTTACAAGTAAAATTTACTGTAGTTTTGGTGCTTGTGCATTAGAAATTGGGAGTCAAGACTTGTGCTCAAGACAGAGAGAGAGAGAGAGAGAGAGAGAGAGAGAGAGAAAGTTGGAGATAGAAAAGGAGCGAAAGAGAGAGAGAAATGAAGAAAAATAGCTTTAGCTGAAGATTTTGCGATTTGCTTAGCATACGAAATGCTTAACATATGAGCTTGAATGGAAGATCAGGTAAAGTGTTAATGAATGCGAAGGGGCTGCTAGAGGGCATGACAGAGAGAGAGAGAGAGAGAGAGAGAGAGAGAGTGAGAGACAGAGAGGTAGGGCGACAGAGATACAGAGAGAGGGGTGGAGTGGGGCGGGGCGGGGGGGAGTGAGTAAAGGCGCACACTTACCCAGTAGTCAAACGTCGGTCTCGATGCTAACAGCCAGCGCATTGTTGTGCCTCATTGTGAGACTGCTCCCAGCGCTGCCAGTTGCCGCACTGACGCTTATTGTTGTCTGCAGCTGCTTGAAGCCATTCTGCTGCTGCAGTTGCAGTTGTTGCTGCTGCTGCTGCTGCTGCTGTAGTTGTTGCTGCTGCTGCTGCTGCGCTGGCGGAGGTTGCAGCTGCATCTGTGTGGCTCCCAAAAACGGAGCTGCTCCACTGCGTCCAGGATGTGTTTCAGTTAACCCTGGCGTCGATTCAACACCATCGTCCAAATCCATCATATCCGATGAGGACTCGGACAACGATGATTTCTTCAAGTGTTGACCTACTTGTGGTTTTATGCATTTGTTTAGTGTTGTTTTTCAACGTGGTTTGATCGTTGTTGTTGTTGTTGGTTGTTGTTGTTGTTGTTGTTGTTGTTGGTTGTTGTTGGTTGTTGTCGCAGTGTTTGGTAGTTGGTGTTAAACAAAGTTGTGTGCGTGTGTGTTCGTGTGCGCGTGTGTGTTTGCGCGTATATGTGTGTGCGTGTGTGTGTTACAGTGATTGACGGTTGACGGATAGGCATGGAGGGAATTTGGATTCGTTGGGTAATACATTTACAGAATTTGGATACGGTTACGGTTTCGGATTGTGGGACATTTGAGATTACAGATAATTGTTTCAAGTTCAAGTTATCGATATCGATAATTATCGGATTCGCATTACGATTTAACGGAATAAAGAGAGAAACAAAAAGAAGAGAGAGAGAAGAGAGAAAGAGGAGATCACACATACAGTTGTAATGTATTAATTACAAAAATGCTTTTTGTTGTAGTTCTTGTTACACACAAAACACACAGTACGTGTAAGTACGTATTGTAGGTCGATACAGTTGCGCAGCGTTGCCAGCGGCGAGCGATCAGGCGTTGCCACATGGCAATTCGATTATCGAATTATCGATAGACAACTGGCTGGCGTTCACATTTGGCAACACGGCGTGCGATGATGCGTACGTTTTGCAATACGGCCAGCGCTGCCAGATTGGTGTGCGGTGTGCGGCATGCGGCCAGTACGGCAACGCCGTCGCATCAAGCGTTTTTATATAATGCCTACGTTTCGTTTCTTTCTTCGTAAATGTTTCTATTTTTATTCAAACTGGGTTCTGTTTAACAGTAGATATGCAGGCGACTGTGTGTGTGTGTTTGTGTGTATGTGTGTGTAATGTACGAGTGCGTGACAGGTGGTTGGAATATAGATGTGTTTGTGTATGTGTGTAAGTGTGTGTGTGTATATGTATGTGGCTTTACTTTGCAATCGTCCAGTCGAATGTGATTGTGATGCGAGTAGAGTGGAAGATAACGAGGCACAGTGCACATTTCAACTTACCTAATGTACCTGGCAAATATGGACAACTAGTAACATGATTAAAGTTTTGGCTCTGCATCTCCTCCTGATCCGTTTCGCGGTGATAGAAGTAATTGAAATTACTGACGATAACCGGTACGGGCAGTGCGATTGTTAGTACACCAGCAATCGCACATAATGATCCCACAATTTTGCCCCAAACGCCGACGGGTCTGTATTTTGTTTAATTATCGTTTATCGATATCAATTTCGTTTCAATTTCATTTTGTTTCATATTTCAATATTGCATATCGTGTGTCAAACGAATTTCAATGCGTTTCCGATTCCAATTTTCGTTTATTTCCATATTTTTAACGGTATTTTTTTGTGGCGTTTTTTTTTTTTTTGGTATTGAATTGAATTTGCGAGAGATATTTTTGTTATGGATTTTTAATGCGATCGTTTTTTTTTTTTAGATAGTTGGGTTTTTTAACGTTTTTTTTTTTTTTGTTTGGTTGTAATTAAATTGATTTGAGGTATAGATATATATAGAGATATATATATTTATATATATGTATAAATAGATTTTATATTTTTGGATTTTTGTTTGTTTGTTTGTTTTGGATGATGCGAGCGATGTTATCGAACGAACGATAAATAAAATGAAAATACAAATATATAAGAAATGTAAAGTAAAACTATCGTTTTGTTTTCAATTTAAATTCTTAGGTTATGTTTGAGATAGTTCTTTTTTTTTTTTTTTAATATATATATAATATTTTTTTTGTATATCAGTGATTGCATTATAGAATATGTACGTATACAAGTACGAGCATATTTGATTATAGGCAATAGCAGTAGAAACAGTAAAACGAAATAATAGTTTAGCAAAGAGTACTCGAAATTAGGCACAACACTTAAAACGAGTAGCGTTACGAGTGGTTTTTGTGGTTTCTTCTTTTTCTTTGTATATTTTCTGTTTTTTTTTTTTTTTTTTTTTGCTTTGGCTTTGGGGTAAGGTTCTCTATTTCCATTTTTTTTTTTGCTTTATAAGTATGTTAGTATATATATATATATTTGCTAAGACGGCATAGTTGCTGTGTGTGTGTGTGTGTGTGTGGTGTGGGTGTGTGTGCGCGCGTATGTGTGTATTTATATACATATGCAGACATTCGAACGAGTGTTGCATAGTGTGCGAGTGAGTAACACAGGTGCACAGCGTTTCAAGGCGAGTGCGAAGAGTTAGAGAGACAGAGAGAGAGAGAGAGAGAGAGAAAGAAAGAGTGCAAGAGAGTGACAGAGAGAGAGAGAGAGGGAGAGGACAGCAGAAAGTTGTGTGTTTGTGTGTGTGTGTAACGAAATTTCTTTGTGACAGAACTACTCAAAGTTAGGCGCAACACAGGGCTTGGGTGGAGCATGGGCGAAGGCGAGGGCGAGGGCGGGAGCAAGTGGCGGGAGCAAGTGGCGGGTAGCGGTTGCTGATGCGGTGCAGGAGCTGATTGTTGGGCATAGTTGAAGGCGTTGGATTAGGACTTGACGACTTGGGTATTAGGTACGGTCGCTGTTGAATAACTTAACGCGCATGTGTGTGTGTGTGTGTATGTGTGTGTGTGTGCCTGTGTCTGTTGGTCTGCTGTATTGCATGGGGTATTCGGTATATCTGGCACATGCAGCATGCGTTCGATAAGAGCAGAGCTAAGAAAATTGCGCAAAATGTGTTATCGGTATCGGTATCGATATTAGCTAAAGCCACGTCCCAGCAACTTTAGTTGCCTCAGGGGCGTGGCATGCTGCACTAAATACGCAACTCTAAATAGTACAATTACTTCCTAATGCAGTGTATAAATGTGTGTGTGGGTGCGTCTGAGTGTAGAGTTGATGAAAATATCGAGTTAAGTTATCGATAAGTAAACACTGTACCGAAAATACAGTGTAATAATGCATGATGTAGCTGTATGAGTGTGTGTGTGTGTGTGTGTATGGGTGAGCGGGTGTTACTGGAGTTGGACTTTAACTTGTTTCTTTGTTGGGTTTTATGTGAACTAAACAGCGACACAACGTTACATTGATAATGAATAGAAAAACTGTTTAAATTTATAGAGCTTTTCTAAGCATTTTTGTTCAAATGCGTTCACTTTAGGCAAAGGCAAATTTGCGTCACCAACCCGTTTGGGGGCAACTGCAAATGTTGCATTTGCCTAAGGTTGTCGGTTAACGGAACCAGAACAGAACAGAACGGTACGCAATGGAACGGAACGGTAACAGAACACAGTGGCAACAAAAGATATAAGTTAGACAGTTAGATAGATTGGCAGTTAAATAAGTGTAAAGATCTGACAAAAAATATCAAAAAGAAAAAATTGCCTTGGTGTTTTAGCCAACCGAGGTACGGTACGGAACGAAACGAAATGAAACGAAATGAAACGATATGAAATGAAACGAAACGAAAGTACGTGATAAATTTGCAAATCAAAACTTGTACGCATAAAGCAAATAAAATGAAGTTCTTTTTCGGTTTTTGTTTTCGGATCAAACGAGTATTGCGAACTTTGGTTAGTATGTGATAAGAAGAAGTAACTAAAAAATACTTGGCGAAAGAGTTGATCAATAAATGACAACACCTGAGCGCAATTAGCACCGCACAGTAAACGAACCAAAAACTTAGAATAACGAACATAAAACTCAGAAACGATAACATAATCATAATCATAGTAACATAAACAGAATCGTAATCAGAAAAGTTAGAATTGTAATTGTATAGATTTGCATACGTCATGTCACCATATCCAACGGTGGTCATGGTAACGACTGCCCACCAAAATGCATCGGGTATGGACTTGAAGAAGGAATTTTCGCTTCCAGCTTCCGCAAAATAAACCGCTGATGAGAAGAGTACGACGCCTAAAAAAATTGATGGGAGAAATTGCTTTGCATTGGTTCCGACTCGATTATTTCATAAACATAGGAGTTCTTTTTTTTTTTTTTTAAATATTTTTTTTTTTTTCTTACTTTTACATAATATATATAGTTTTTTCAAGTATTATTAAGTTTTTTTTTTTTTTTGTAAATCAAAAAACATTTGAAATAAAAAAGAGTTTTGTAATTTAGCTTTGGGTGCCGATTCGGCTTGGCGTCCGGCAAGTCCTTGTCTGTAGGAAAGTCTCAGGCTGGATACGTATGAACGGTCCGGCAGGTAATACTCTCTATGTGTGTGGCTGTGTGAGTGTGTGATGGTGTGTGTGTTGGTGTGTGTGTTGGTGTGTGTGTTGGTGTGTGTGTGTGTGCGGTGTTTGTTCTGTAGAACGTGCTATACAATGTGTTGACTGAAAATCTCAATTGCGGACAAAACGGAACAAAGTGTGCAACTGGAACTGGAACTGGAACCGGCATGGGGACCGGAACCGGAATCTAATGGCGTTAACAGTCATTGCAGCGTTTCCTTTTTTTTTGTGGGAAGCACAACTAATGTTTCCCCCCTTCCACCATTAAGCTGCACAGCATTGTGTAGCACGCTTTTCAGCTGGATAATCCTACTAAGAATAGTTTTCGTATTCAATTCGCAATCTTGTGACAATGCGAAACTGAGCCGCGGCATTCCCAAGCAGAAAAAAACGAGTGGGCAGGCCAATCCAATAGTGGGCGGTGCCTGGCCGCTGGAAATGGCAATTAAATGAAATCGGTTTCTGGTGTGCTAAGCCCTGGACCGAGAAATATGGTGATATCGTAGTCATAAAGCTCAACGACGAGGACGAGAATGAGAACGACGACGACGACGACGACGATGACGATGACGATGGCGAGAATTCCAAGTGATGAGTAGATCTTCTTTTTTGTTTCTTTTTTTTTTTTATAATTTTCTATTGTTTATGTATGGTATTCGACTAGTGAGTGGTTTATTATTCTGCTTGGGATATTTGGAAACTCAAGAACAGAATCAGACAAACGAAATGCAGAACGAGAGAACCGAAATGCAGGACATGCCAAAAAAGTTCACATAACACAAGATCAAAAGAACAAGTTCAAGAAGAAAATAAACGAAAAGTATAGAAAATATAATGAAAATAGTAAAATGATAAATGAAAATAGCGCATGGTTAATGAAAACGTTAGGTAGAGGCAGGTAAACGACGAGGACAGCGATAAAAAGGGACACAAAGAGCAGGAGAGAAAGTGAAAGAGAGACAGAGAAAGAGCGAGAGAGTGAGAGCGAGAGCGAGAGAGAGCGGGTAATGGGGCTGGATGACAACAACAACACACGACACCAAAGGACGTCGATGCAACAACAACTAGAAACAGGATGAAGAGCACATTAATTGGGATCTATACAAGGCACAGCATATACAAGTAGATACATTTATAGATAGTTATATATAGAGTACGGTTATAGATACAGAATTAGCTTAGCTGACTTGCTTAAATACACATAAAAATACTAAAAAGTAGTAGTGGTATATTCAAGACACATAGAATAAAGTATTTATATACATATTTTTTGGACATCATAATATTCTGCTGTCTGTCAAAATTCCCAACTATTCCAAAACTCAATTGAAATAATCTGCATGAGAGAGCTCTTTAGTTGCATGGAATTTGGAATGTAACAGAGTTATGGAATTGGCATGAACAACCGAGCGGAGCGTTATGGAATTTAAACACTCGTTTATACAAAGTTGACAAAATGAAAAATAAAAATAAAACTTTTAAAGATGTATAAAATAGTCGATGAAGTATGAACACAAGCACGCTCTATAAAAATTAATGCTCTCTATTGGAGAAACACACAGAGAGAGAGAGAGAGAGAGAGAGAGAGAGCGGGAGAGAGAAAGAGCGAGAGAGAGCCTTGCACAAATACACAAAAAGATGGAGTAAACATAGCTAGAGCTGGACAGAAACAGTACACAAATATAAATGCACTTGTATATGAACATATAAGACACAAAGATAGAGAGAGACAGAGAAAGTGAGTGAGAAAATTTACAGACAGAGAGAGACAGAGGGAGAGAGTGAGAGTGAGAGAGAGAGAGAGAGAGAGAGACCGATAGATTAGTCGTAGCGCTATGTTACATGGAGCAGTTAATAACTTGGTTAGTTAAGTTGATACACAAATTAGGCAGCGCAGTTGCGATTAACTAGTTTGGTATTTTTTTGTTGGTATTTTTTGGTATTTGGTATTTTTGGTATTTTTTGTTGTTGTATATTTGCTTGTTATCATTGGATTGATGTAGATGTAATGTAAGTTGTACCTCATATCACCATATCCCACCGTAGTCATGGTCACCACAGCCCACCAGAATCCGTCGGGTATGGACTTGAAAAAGGAACTCTCGCTGCCAGCCTCCGCGAAATAAACCGCCGATGAGAAAAGTACAACGCCTGGGCGCAATTTCAAACAGAGATCAGCGTTAGATTAGTTTCAATTTCATATCATATTATATATAGACATAAATATTTATTGGATGAGTTGGACACAAACAAAAAAAAACTAAACAAATATATTTATGTATAGAAGAGAGAGAGAGAGTGATAGAGAGAGAGAGAGAGAGAGAGAGAGAGATAGAGTTCTTCAGTTAGTTTTCTGCTTGGGTCTGAGCGCTTTACAAAGAACGTTTCATCTGCATGGGGCAACCCTTAAAAAAGATCGCTTCAAAATGATTTGCAATTTAGGAAAGGAACCCCAAATATTGTTCATTTAAGTGTACACAGTATGCAATGGGTGATCGACTATAATATCATTTAGATAAACATATATGATGCTATTCAAAAGAGTTTTAATACTCTCACAATATGCGTTATAAGATTGTCAAAAATATCTGAATATTATTGATTTTTTTTGTGTATATTTTGGTTATTTATCTTATTTCTTTTTACTTTTATATTAATCTGTGCAGAAACTATAAGAAAGGTGTTACATAAAGATATTGCAAGTAATAAAACGCTTAAAAAACTGGGTGTAAATCACATTATATAGCAGGTAAGTATGTCTGTGTGTCAGTTGTATCAAGTTATCTATGAGTTCATAATTGGTTAAAATTTGTGTATTGTATATATATGAGTGTGTGTGTGTGTGTGAGTGTGTTTAACATAAATAGTTCGCAAAATATTACAAATCGAAATAAAGGGAAATGCTCACAACGACAACGACGTCTTCGGCTTAATACCGAAGTTCCAATGCACAAATGTTGAGATCGCGGCGAGTCTTTGGCCGAGCGTGGCTCAACATTTGTGCAACACTACAATTCAGCGCAATAGGCAAAGGAGAAGTTATCGATCTATCGATGAATCGATTTGATTTCCCTTTTTAAGGTTAGGTTAGTAATGCTTCTAGATTGTTGCAACTAGCTAGTATTTGACGCTATGTATTTTTCATAAATATTTGTAATTTTTTGTTGTTTATCTTCATTTCTTTTGTTTGTTATTGTAAAGATAAACAGGAACTAGCAAGTTGAGTAGTTGAGTTGAGAGTTGGTACTATACGAAATACATACGTTATTTGTAAAATTTAGATAATATGATATATTATATATATATTTATACTACACTACAGCAAGGCAAATGGTATACGAAATATGAAACATATGGGGGAAAAAAAAGTATTTAATATGCTTCTGTGTACAACGGCCGCATCGATGAAGATATATCCATAAGCGATCTAGAGTTCATATAAAGTACATATGTATATATATGAGCACTGTAAAGTTATACTAATCTAGTTTAGTTTGTATGCTGTTTGTTATCATAATAGATGCATGGGTACATAGGAACCGATCTACATAGCAGGCGCTAGTACTTAACTAACTAACCTGCGATTCGGTGTTAGCTATAAGAATCAACACAACAATGAAAATAATCTAAAAACTAAGCAAAAAAAAAAAAGGAAAACAAAAACACAGACTAAACTCAACTCAACGCAAGGCAATCGAACTGAGAAACCTCCTTGGAGAATTTTGTACAATTTGGTTCTTTTAATATACACAGTTTGTGGAATATATATATAGATGTACACTATATATACATATATCATATATATATGTATATATACATACCTAATAGTTAGAGGTTAATAAGTTAACAGATAGAACAACAAACTATAAACTAAAAGCCAAAGAAACGACATCAAAAACAGCGTAGATGAAGTTACATTTACAAATACGATAACGATTACGATAACGAGTACGGTTACGGTTACGGTTACGGTTACGGTTACGTGACGAATACGGTTACGGTTACGGTTAAAACGTGAACAACAATACAAAATTTATATATATATGTATATATAGGTAAGTATATGTTTAAAATAAGTTGTTTTTTTTTTCTGTTACTATCCATTCTTCAAAAACTCTCATTTGTTTTTTTTTTCTCTATCTAGTATTTTTACTAGTATTAGCTAGTATTTTTACTTCTTCTTCTTGGACAACTAAACGCAAAGAAGTTTGCCAATTTTAAGGCATATTATGCGCAGTTTGTGCAGAAAAAATCATAGAAGAGAACATGGAACGAAGGCATCAAAACAAGGCAGAAAATACTAATAAATGGAGTTGAATATAAAAAAAAATACCGTATGAATGATGGAATGATTGAATGAACTGCAACAAAATACGCATGAACCTTAAAATTGCCAACGACTTTAGCGGGTGGGCATTTATAAAAACCATAAAAATTGCGTTTTTACACTGTCAAAGTATATCAGGAGTAATAGACTAAAATTCGAGTACATTGACATTGGTTTATTTTTCTATCCAAAAGACGATGAAAAAGGTTATGTTTATTTCTATATATGAAAATATATTGTATATATCGATTTTACTGTTACGTTTACTAATACCAATACTCTAATCGAATAACTAAATCTGATCCGGACCCAAAAAAAACAAAAAAATGTATGTATATTTGTATCAACTGTCGCAAATTTTGCAGGTATTACTTAAGCTAATTAGTAGGCGACAATATTATATTGTATATATACGTAGTGGATAAGTACACATACATATTTCGGTACATATACATGTATGCATGTATATATGTATGGGTATTACGCTCTAGGGGCGCCTAGGTGTATGCTGCATCCGGGTTGAACTAGATAAGCTACGCGTATTATGTAACTAAGTAGTTGGTTTCTTGTTTAGTTTAGTTTAATTTATCGTATATATCGTATATATTGTATAGGCATGTTTTATTCTTGATGGTATTTTCATGTATACGTAAAATATACTGTTATTGTTTAGGTAATAATTAGCATTAACTAAGTAGATGTAGAGTATATTATTTTAATGTAATGTTTACTTCAGAGTTAAGGATCATAGCACTTGGATCATAGATATAATATTTATTATATATCATATGGATCCCAAGTAAGATAAAGCATATGCTGAATTGACTTTAACTTTGTGTGAAATTTACTCAAAAACTGACCATAAAAAAACAACAGAAAAGATCATTCCAAAGATGATCTTCAATAGATGAACTTGAGCTCTGGGTTTTTGATTTGGATAATTGATAAATGAAAATTGTTAAAAAGCATATAAGTTGGCTTAGTATATATATATATATTCGCTCGATTTTCTATATGTTGTATATATATTGAGTAATTCGCTTTTAAGGGGTTTGGTTTTTTTTTTTAGTATTTTTTTGTGTTTGTTGGTATTTTGGTGTTGTAAACAAATGGTGAGGAGTTAAAAAATGTGCTGGCTGTTATGTACTTAAATTATATAATGTATATTTAAAATATTACTTCTTTTTTTTTTTTTTTTGGTATTTTTGTTGGTATTTTTGTTGGTATTTTTTATAAGCAGAAGTTCTTTTTTGTTGTTGTTGTAAACCTTGTGTTCTGACTAAAAGTAAGGTCTGTCTGAGTGTTGTGCTTAGTTGAGGAGTTGAAATTGTGTTAAGTGTTGCGAGTAGGGTTAAAAAGTCGCTGGTCGTAAAGGTCGTTGGTTAGATCAAAGTAAATTGATAGATTGTTTGGTACCTACTTGTATGTAAGTAAGCAGTTTTATAGTTAGGTGTAAAACATGGTGTGTGTGTGTGTGTGTGTGTTGTGTGTGTGTGTTGTGTGTGTGTGTTGTGTGTGCTAGTTGGTTGGTTTGTTGTTTGTAATTGGTTGTTGGCCGCTTTGTGGTTAACTTACCTATAAATAAGAAAAATATAAGTAAACCTAATTCCCGCATTGAGGCTTTCAGAGTTCGTCCTAATATTTGTAAACCCTTCGAATGCCTAGATAACTTAAATATTCGAAATACTCGAACTAATCGTATCACTCGTAATATTGCCAAGGACATAGCCTGATTCGATGACTTGTCCTAAAAATTTATAATTATTTATAGATTTGTAGATCGATGTATGCAACAGAATCAGTTAAGTATTTCATTATGTGTGAGTATTTATATATAAATATATTATATATGTATGAGTAGTATATATAAACATACACATGTACAAATATATGCACATACATATATATCATATATTAATATATATGTGCATAGTTGATTATCTGTATATATTTATATTGCAGTTTATGTATGCGTGTGTAAGACTGTGTGCAGCTGGTTTTCATTTGATTCGTGTCATATAGTTGATTTTGGTTTTAGGTAGTTAGTAATATACAACAATAATTCGTACTGTTATACGGATATTACAAGAGCACTAAGATAGGCATTTTATAGGTAAGTATCAAGTATATATATTACGTAGGCAGAAGCATTGCTATCAAATCATAAGCTGATTATATATATATATATATAATTATACATATATATATATACTATATATGTATATGCACATGTTCAATGTTTGTTGTTACTGATTTGATCACATCCATATATGTAAGAAGAATTTGTTTTTAAATAGAGAAATCATAAATGCAAAAGCAGGCAATTTATTGTTTTACTCATATAAACAAAAACAAACAACGCGACGAGTTTTAGAATTTTTGGTAATTTTGTTGTTTGTCAAACAAATTAGTAATAATATAAATATTTGTTTGTTCATATACAATGTACATGTTTGTAGCAGTAGGTGTGTGCGTGCGTGCGTGCGTGCGTGTGTGTGTGTGTGTGTGTGTGTGTGTGTATGTGTGAGTGTAATTTAGCATTGTAGTTTTGGCCAAACAAAAATCTCATACCTGTGGACTGACTGGCGCTTTTGGAAGATTTAACGTATCCTCCTCTTCGGCAACGACAGTCGCTAGTGTTATAAAGTACGGAATGATGGCGATTATGTCGATAACATTCATGACATCCCTGCAGAAATTTAATTTGTTCGGACATGCGAGGAACCTGCGCGGGCGCAACACAGAAATAAAAACAACGCGATATGACAGAAACACAAACAAGGAGAAACATAGAGAGAGAGAGAGAGAGAAAGAGAGAGAGAGGGAGAGAGAGAGAAAGGGAGAGAGAGAGGGAGAGAGAGAACATTTGAGCCAGAGACAAATAGAGTAAGTTAAAGAGTAATACAGTGAGAAGGAAAAAGCAAAAAAAGAAAACGTACAAATATTGCATATATATATCAACATGGTCTATCAATTATATGAAATTTATTACAAACTAGGCGTAATTAAATAATAAATAATAAAGCTAAATATATACCCAAAGGCTGCTAGAGTTTATGGCCTTTATTGTCAGCTATAAAGTTAAAGATTTTTATCGTTTCATATTTACCCAATTATGTCTTAAGACGAGTTTTAACTCTAAATCTAGTTTAACCCTGAACTTGGCAGCAAAAACACATCTCGTTTATTTTTATTTTTTTAATCTCATAACTCCTTGCTTTATTTCTTCATAAATCTTTTCAGATTCTAAGAAAACATTGTTGAATGATTTTTAAATTAAGTTCACTCGAACTAACTATCTGCCAGAGAGAGAGACTTGTTTAACACATTCCTGAACCCAGATTTGAATTATTTAATTATTTTCCCAATTTTAACAAAATACATGAATTTTTAATAATGAAATATAAATTTTTGACCATGCCCCCAAATGTCTTGTACCAAATATGGCTATGCTATATTCTCCTCAAACTGGTTTTTTCTTCTTTAATTTGAACCACTTTAAAAAAAGCACTGGTTTGATTCGGTTAGCGCATCTGATGAAAGGTGAAAGATTCAGCTCGTTCTAAACAAATCAATTGCGGGTTCGATTCAAATGCGATTTGCAGCCTTCGGCTCAATTGGAATACTTTGAACTAGCAATAAAAAAGGTGAATCTAGAACGAGGACTACGAATGCGTTATATGAAACGAAATAAACCTAAAGAGTTTAACTATGCGCTCTGCATAAAAGCTCATAGAGCGGCAAAAGCTGCTGCAGCGCCCCCTGGCGTTCAGATGGGCCTTAAAATCCTAACTGATTCAAGTTTCCCAACATAGACTTAGAAACTAAAGCTTATATTGTAATATAAAGTATTAATGCTCATACCTGACAGTTAGTTCAAATGTAAACCAAATAATACATAACGTTTCTATAAGGAAGAAAGGATCTGTGATGTCAGGCACCTCGTCTTCCTCGATTTTTGTGCCATTTGTTGTTGTATTGAACACCTGAAAAGGAGAATTACAAATGAAAAGAAACAAAAAAGCATTTAAACAACTTAGATCAGAGCTCTTTGTACATATATACATATATGTATATACATATAGTTGAGCTTGGATTGGTCTTGGCCTTGAAGAAGTACGCACCTTGTAATGCTTAAATTCGGGTAATGTTTCTAGACAAAATATAACAATTGATAGCAATATAACAAATACACTAATTATGGCTACAACTCTGGCGGCTTGCGAGCTCTCTGGGTACTCGAAGAGCAGCCAGACTTTTCTTTGTTTCTCATTATCCGGTAATGGTCTTTCTTCCTCTTTAATAAAGCCTTCATCCTCTCTGCATATAAAGATAATAGAAGATCAGGTAAGCTTATTTCAATTAATGTCCATGTCTGTCTTATGCATGTGTATGTGTATGTGTGTGTGTGTGTGTGTGTGTGTGTGAGTGTGTGGAAGCTTATAGACTTGTTTACATTTGATTAGGCCCTAAGCAGCGATTTGGTTTGGCAGCCAATTGGGGAGCTAATCAAAATTAAGTGTTGGCAATCGTTAATCGACATCGATAAATGACAACTTAAAATCGATATCATGTGAAGATGAAGTAGAGTTCTATTGAAATGATGTTTGAAATGAATCGAGAGTTAACTTTGATTCGTTGCACTAATTGTCGGCGAGTGGGTTCCTCTTTGTTCTCTTTGGCTTCTTCTCTTGCAGCCGAGCCCCGCCTGGTTCTGGGGCTCACGTTAAGGCCTGCACGGTCCGGCACAGTGCCCCCCTTTTTCTGCCGTATGAACAAAATTTTAAGCTAGTGGTCAAGTGATTAACAAGTGATTCGCCAACGGCCTTCAGGTTCCATTCTCTCGTTCGTTCGATTGTCCACGTCGCTTACTGTAGTATGTATGTGAGTGTGCGTATGTTTGTGTGTGTGTGTGTGCTTCCTTTGTTTTGTGATAAATGCAATTCCCATGAAAACCGCAAAATATGTAAAACGTTCAATAAATGCCGACATAAGTCGATTGAATGAATAACCACAAGTCAATAGCTTTATCCATAAAACCAATAACAAGAAGAACAAAAAGATTGGTATGTGCCTGTGTGTGTGTGTGTGTGTGTGTTTGTTAACTATTTGCTCATTCATACAATGCCTGAAGTATGAACACAATATTGTGGCTGCCAATTGAATAAAGCCATAGGAATTGGGTAATCGGAATTCTCGTAGCTGAGTGAAGGGCAAAGCAGTCGAAGGGGAATTTGAGTTTCATAATCCAGCTGCCATGTTTTATGTTTTCCCCCATATTCCACTCCCCTACCTCAATGATTAAAGGCTTTAGGTAAGTGAACAGGGGGCTAACAATTTGTAAAGGCCAGTTTATTCAAGTTAAATGTTCCACACGTAATGTTTCAGGTCTTACATTTTGCCTGCTCTTAAACACTTGAAACGAAACAAAGAAAAGGGCTGTTGGACAAAGAGTTTGACAAGCAAAACAATTGGATTGTTCCACTTCCATATTCCGTTTGTTTTCTATAACGTTTTACCATAACGAATTTGAGACATTTTTGATTGGGAAATGAAATAAACTTGCTTATTGTTGCTTGTTGTTCATGTGCCAAATACCGCATTCCACTTATAAAGTTATCATATTCCAAATCCAATGATTAGTATGCCATGTTTCATTTTCCGTTTTGCATATGCCATTTTTTGCCATGTTTCGTGATCCATTCACCATTCCTCATTTTCTACCATGTTTCATATTTTATATACCATATAATATATCATGTGTTGTATATAGCTGTTGTTCTATAGCTACATATGACATTCTACCTATCATGTTTCATATATTATATATTTATCTTGTTCCTTATAACATGTTATTGTTCGAGAACTATGTCATGCATGTATCCATTTTCATATACATTTTTTGTATTTCATATCACATCCATATACCATGTTTCATATTTTTCATACAATTTACGATGTCCTCAGTGTTGGGTTTCACTTCTCATATTCCAACTGCCATGTCATTTGCATCATTCTCCATATGCCATGGTTTATATATCATGTTCCACATACCAGATCTCATAGGCCACATTTCATCAGGCGTGTTTCATGCTGATGCCAAGTTCCACAGCCCAAGCTTAATATTCCAAGTTCCACGGGTCTGTTGCTTACGCAATAATTTCGAAATGAAATGAGTTACTAAAGGAACTGGTTCGCTTGAACTAGTTCAAAGGCAAATGATGTAAAATCGAAATGCTTCTTCAGAATGATAGCGAACACTTTAAAACTACAACTTATGCTTACGTGCAAGCTAAAGTACTACTTATATTGGTTACATAATGTGTCTGTTTCTGTGTGTTTCTTAGTGTGTGTGTGTGTGAGTGAGCGTGTGTTTTGCGTTTGGGTGTCTTTGGTCAGGTGTCTACGTGCCGTGTTGCATGCCTTGTGGATTGGGAGCTTGGTTCAACAATTTGCTGCCGCCAATAAGCAAAAACCAATTCGCGCTTTGCTGCACTTTAATTTCGCTAAGTATTTGTTGTTAATTTCGGTGAGTATTTTTTTGTTATTATATATTTTCGTGTACTTTTTGGAATTTTAGATTTTTAGTAAATTTGTGGGGCAACAGGCTTACCTGAATTTATTAATTGCTTGATCACCTAATTCATAAAATTTTATTTCTTCACTAAATACGTCTAAAGGGACATTGACCGGTCTCCGTAGTCGGCCACCTGTGAAGAAAAGGTAAGCGCATCGTAATTGCAGGTGAGCGTGTGCATGTGTGTGCGTGTGTGTGTGTGTATTAGAGAGTGAGAGTTGCATGTATTTGGCATGTGGTTAGGGCGGGTTGGGGTCAGAGAAGAGAAGAGTAAAAGTGGAAAAAACATTAGCAAATTGTTCGTTTCGTTTTGATGCGAATAGAGTTTTCTGTGAATGGCACTCACTTGGCATTCATTTGGGAATATGCTTACCACTCTGATAATAGTATAAAATCGCATCGAAGCTCGGACGACTACGGTCAAAAAAATATTCATTTCTAAGCGGGTCAAAGTACCGTAATCTCCGAGCTGGATCCCCAAGCAGTGTGTCCGGGAATTGATTTAGCGTACGCAGTTGTGTCTCAAACCTTAACCCGCTTACCTAACGAATGAATAATGAATAGCATTAATAATCACACATATATTTATATATTTTTTGTATATTCGCAATCGGATATTTACATTTATAACGACTCTCTCGCAGAAATCATGATCGTGAGGAATGGGTTCAAAGTGTTGTGGTCCGCCACCAAAGCCATGACCAGCCCCCCCTTCTTCGTCTTGACTGCTCAATTTGGGCAAAGACCTGGAATAAAATAAACCAAATCAATACAAATACAACATTAACAACAAGTTAGGCTTTTGCAAAAAAACAATCTTTATTGAAAGGCAGCTATTCAAAATACTCTTGAGCACTTTTTAGATTTCAGTATTTCTTCAGCTGCTTTTATGTCATCCCAAATTAACATGCAGAATTTGTCCGGGTTGTATTAACTTAAGCATTTGACATTTCATAAATTTGGTAAGACAAAGTCAAATATTTTGTCCTGTTAATTGTTTAAGAGTGTGGCACCAAGAGAGAGTATATAAAAACAGTGTGTGAAATACGCGGGAGTATGAGATAAGAGAGAGAGAGTGAGAGCAAGGCCAGAAGATTCATTAAGAATGTGACAGCAAAGCAGAATTCGTAAATCTTTGCGCTCTTGAGAGGCCAAATGCCACCCACACGTTCTTTTGCTCTCTTATCAACAGGAAAATGTACTTATTCGGATAGCCGAACCAATATACCCTATAGCTCTTTGTAATATAGTAAATATTAAATAAATCTATGTTGTTAAGCACATTGTGCCTTTATTGTGCGTGGTGGCAACCCCAAAAAGTTCAACCAAAGGTTGCCACAGCTAAGCACAACATGTGACGCATATTTTACTGTTATTTCCTGTTAACCACAGTTGCCACCACTTAACAAAAATATGTCGCATATTCTGCATTTATTGTGAGTGCTGGCAACCCCAAAAAGTTCAACCAAAGTTGTCACAGAATAGCTAAAAATATCTCGCACATTAAACTTTTATTGCAAGTGATGGCAGCCCCAACAAAAAACAACCGCAGTTTAACCAAAAATAGGTCATTCAGTACTCGTACTATTGCAGTCGAACTCCCGACTGACAAAGTTTTGCAGGGTATTTTTTTTGAGCAAATTGCTTATGGAATTAAATATGCAGGAGATGCATAATGCAGCAAGCAAATCAAATGCTAAACTGTATAATTGATATTTGGTATCTATTATATACCAAGATATTGTGTAGTATGTTGCATATATATATATATTTATGTATATAAAGGTTGTGTGGCAAGCCGCATGTGGCAAAAGAGGGCCCCATTCAAAAACCATTTAATGCGCATTCAACTGGCGGCAAATAGCAATATTTTTTTGGCCCAATGCCCTGCCACACGCCACACATCGTAGTCGCAATCGTAGGTCGGAGTCGCCCCCGGGCCTCTACAGGAAGGCAATAAATGTTTACACATGTAATTGAAATTGTATTACAATCACATAGATACACACACACACACACAGGCACACACACAGACACACATACACACATGCACACGTGTGTGAGTAAAAGGCGTTGCATGTGAGGAGGCGCCATCGCTGGCAGAGTGCCCAAAATGACAGCCAAAAGCATTTTATGCAGCGTTTCGCCCTTATCGCTGATGTTGCCATTCATTTGTTTTTTTTTCCGTTCGAATACCCTGCACACATTGAAGGGTTGTGTCTGCCGCAGAAGACTCTAAAGTGAAGCAAGTTTGTAAGTTTCTGCGACCTTAGAAGTTGCTTAGTTTGGTTTTTGCAAACAATCAGAGAGCGGAAGAGCTTAGCTAATTGTGAATATATTTTATTTTTGCGCACCTATCGCTTTTTTATCTTCCCAAGCGATAGTTGGGCGATAGCACAGCATCTTAGGTTAAGTGTTGGCTTCTTTTCAAGCCATATTCTGTCGTGTGGGCAGCCCGAGTATCTTTCTCGACTGGAGCTTAGAAGAAGAACGGCTTTGTTCGGCATGCCAAAGATAAAATACACTCGTAGCCAAATGGCTAAGAAAATCATTTATACAGAGGCTTTATTTCCTGAGTCTGATAGTCTGATATGATAATATATAATATAATTAATAATATAATATGATAATGATAATTGCCAAGCTAGATATATATGCGAGCTTCTTAACAAGCAAAAAGAGGTTTTTCATACAAGAACTTAATTCTCAGCCGATCCCATCCATGGCAGCTATTCAAGAAAGTGCTCCGATCTGGATTATTCCAAAATATAAACTCCTGCAACAGCAAGATGCAGCTCTGCAATGTTTATAGACCAATACTGTAAAACTGTAAGATAAGTTTGTATAGCAACAGAGCGATGGAACTGGCTATAAAACTAAATCAGGACTATATATTATAGACTTGTATATGGACGATATAGACTGTGTATTACGCAGTCCAACAAAACTTGTCGATGGCTCGATGCAGAGCTCGAACCAGCGCCTTGCCTTTAAGCTTGGTTCGTTAAACTGGTTTTCCACATGGTTGAACCAGCATATTGGTTCAAACCTATATAAATGAATCAAGAATATCTATATACTTAAAAGGGTCACAGATGTGACCTGCTGTGCGTTGCACAGTGCTGAGAGTTCGACAAAACTTGTGGATGGTTCGAACCAACGCCGTTGCTTTAGGTTTGATAATTGAATTTGATTAAGGTATATTTAAATAACAAATAAATGGCAGGGCATTTGCCAGTCGAGCATTCGAGACTGATTTTTTTTTTGGCTGTCGAGGCGTTGTTGCATGGCATGTTGCCTACTTTTTGGCGCCCGGCATTTAATTAAGCGTGTAAGTGCACGGCAGGCGGGCCAAAAAATCCAAGCAAGCCCGCAGCCTGCCAAAGCGCCTAAGCCCCGCATTCCATCCCAATCCCTTCCAGCCATCCTACCCGACCGGGCTGTCTTAATATTTTGGCCACATAATTGCATATTTTATGACGCGCATGGATACACGGTTCAAGAGTTGTGGGGCTTACTTAACTTGTGGCGCGTGCTGGGGGCGGGGCCACGATATGCATTTGTGCATAATTGAAAGGCCAAGTGGAAGCGAGCTGTTGGCCAATTGCAACGTGGACTGGGCCCACAGTCGAGTGAACGTGACTCAATTGACCGAACGCCGCGGCCATGTTGCATGCGACACGAGCGTTGCATGACGTCAGCGTCCGTCTAACGGGTATGCCTTTTATGTTACCATAAGAGGAATCTGTGCATATGGATAATTAAACACACACACACTTGCACACTTGCACACTTGCACACTCGCACACACACACACACGAAATGTCAACAAACAATTGAAGTTTTATGCAAAACGCCAACACAAAACAACTTGGCGGCAGCTGTGGCTATGGGTGTGCGTGTGCGTGTGTGTGCTCAGGTTGAGTATTCATTCACACACACACACACTCCTTTACACACACAAACACACACACACACACCAACAATGCGGCCTGCTTTTGTGTGTTTATCCATGCAAATTGTGAACTGCAGCTGTTGCGCTCTCACTCTAGCACACTAGACATATGTGTGTGTGTGTGTGTGTGCGTGAGTGTGTGCGAGAATGTGTGTGTATGTGTACTTGTATGTATATGGGTCAGCGGCACGGCTGTGACGTCATTGTGCAAGCACTGTGCCACGCCGTTTGTCGACCCATTTACAAGCCGGGCTAACACTTCCACTTGCGCTTCCACTTCCACTCGCCATCGCCGTTTGCTTTTACACGCCGATTCGCAATTCGCAATTCGGATTCGCATTCGGATTCGCATTCGGATTGGGATTCAGTTTCGGTTTCGGATTCGCCGCTGCACTTCCGGTTGCGGCAGTCATTGCATAAGCTGCTGCTGAAGTTCAATGCGATGCCAAAGCCAAATCAAAAGCAGGTCGCCGCCGACTTTAGAGCAAAATCGCAGCTCATAAATCTTGTGGCCAGCATCTTGGTGCAAGCCTCTGCCCGCCTCCCGCCTCCCCACTCACCCCTCACCACTCACAAACACCTTCTCTCTCTTTCTCTTTCTCTCTAGGCCGCTGTCTGTGTGTGTGCTCTTGTCTGAATGCATGCCGGTCAAGGCAACTCGAGATATCTGCTCTCGCACTCGCTGTCTGTCCTCAAACACAGTTGCCCCACCGCCGCCCCCTGCTATCGCTAACCCCCCTCAACAGCCTGGTTCGACACGTTTATATTGCAGTTGACTCTATTTTTAGCCCATGTCTTCGTAGAGCATATACATTGTGCATGATGTGCACATTTCTGATGCTGCGGCACGTTCTGTTTCCGTTTCCTTCGCCTCCTTTTATTTGGCTCCCTCTCTACCGCCCCCCTCTACCACTCTTTCGCCCTTCCTTTTGCTGCTGTGGGGCCAATTAATGGCGAAAAATTAAATGCAAATGCAGCAGCAGCGAATGCTGCGACAGTCGCGAGCCAAATACGTGACATCAATTTGGACAACTTGGCCCCAAGAGCCCTGAACTGGCGCATCTACTTTATCAAGTGCGAGTGTGTGTGTGTGTGTGTGTGCGTGTGCGTGTGCGTGTGTGCGCCTGTCCGTGTGTGTGTCTGTGTGCAGTTAATCAAAATCGCTGACAATAAAAACTGCTGCAAATGGCAATCATTAAAGAAGAAGATAAATCTATTGCATACCCCCAGGGGCAAGCAGTGAAAATATCATTATCTCAAGATATTGAATATATCAGAAGCAATTCCTTCAATTTATGTTAAATTTATCAAAAGCAATTCCTTTATTTTATACGAATGAAATAAAGCGAAAGCAATTTCTATAATTAATAGAAGTTCCTTTAGAAATATATCAAGAGAATTCTGTACATTTAAAAAAAAAAAAGGCAGCAAAGGTAAATCTATTAATATATCAAAAATATATTAAAAGAATCTAATCTATATAAAACATATTAAAAGTAATTTCAATAATTTATAAAAAGAATATCAAAAGAAGCTCCTTTAATTTATAAAAAATATATCAAAAGCAATTTCTTCGATTTATGTAAGTAGATAACAAAAATCGTGTTTTGATAAAAAGTAAATCAAAAAAAAAATAAATTTATATTAAATACTGCATAAGCAATTCCTTTACTTTATATAAAATATATCTGAAGAGTTCCATCAATTTATCAATTTATATGAAAGGCAATTTTCTACATAATTCAAGTATGAAAAGCAATTCTTTTAATTTTTTCAAAATTGCAATATTGG